GTCCCAGGGCTTTTGGCAAAGCCACAGTCAAGGCGAGCAGCGGAGCATCCTTTATCCCGAGGATTTCTGCGCTGCCTTGCCAGTGCTCAGCAGCTGCAGCCGCAGTTCTGATCGCTCCCGGCTGGCTGTAATTAAGGGAAAGATGCTTCTCATCAGGGCTGCTCCATCCTGACCCATGGTGTGCGAACCCATCGCAGCCGGGAGTTTAAACGCGCCGCAATTCCCATGCCGAGGGGCTTGGGAAGGAGCGGGGAGAGCGGCGTGCGGCTCCTGGCAGGAGCCACAATGATCAGCACCCTCTCCTGGCTCTCGGCTGAACAGCTCGGAGGGATTTGGGGCTTGGAGGAAGAGTCCCAGCAGGGAAAGGTCGCAGCTGCTGGTTCCTCAAATCCATCGCCCTTGGTGACCTTTCTGCCAGCAAGAACTGCGGCTCGGTGACAGCAAAACTCTGCTGGAGTGGCTCTGATCAAACCCTGGGGGGATCCCCGTGCACTGAGGTTAAAACTGCCTTGAAAGTTGCCATTTGGAGCAGGTAACACTCTGATAATGTGCTTTGTCCCTGTGCCCCTCGGAGTGCCCCAAAGTCACATCCCCCAGTGTCCCCGTGGGACGTTTCCTACAGCCAGCAGTGAGCAGCGCGCTGAAAGCTCTTCCCTTGGTCCTGATGCCTTGTGCAGGCTGCTCTAGAGCAGAGGCTGGGCAGGGCTAAAGAATAAAGCAGGGATTTATTCAAGGATCTCCTCCATGGATCCACCTTGGGCAGCACCAGAGCCCAGCCAGGGCTGCACCCAAATGACCCAAAATGGTCCCAAAATGCACAGCTGGTCACAAGATCTCTCACTTTTATAAGTTCTGCTCCATTGGCACCTTGGAGTTCATTGTCCCATTCCAGCTCCAGCCCAGGCAGTCCCACCCTGCTTGTTTTTCTCTCTCCAGCCCACGGTGTTTGTGCTCCTGGGCTGAGGTTTGGATCATTTGTCCTTGGTGCCCAGCTGGAGCAGGAATTGTTTTGTCTCTGCTCTGTGCAGAGAGCTCAGCATCCCCTGATGTGAAACTCAGACTAAAGCAGTGTACAAAATCTGAAACATATAAAAGCTAAAACCTGAAGCATCACTCCAGCCTTTCCAGAGCTCATGTGCCCAAAATTCCACCTGGTGCCTGCCTGCACCTCCTGTTACTCTCAGGCTCTTGGTTCACCTTGCACAAAACTCTGCAAAGCAGCAGGAAAGGGTGGCTGGGAAGGGCAGTGCTGCAGGGTCAGGGCTGGGGATGGGGACTTTGCACTGCTCCATGTCTCGGGCAAGCACCACAACTACTGTCAGGGGGATGTGTTTGTGTTTTTTCTTTGCCGTATAAATTTCAAGCAGAATCTGCCAGTTTGTCCCTTCGTGGAGCTTGGCAGCCCCTCAGGGCACGTTTTCCCCAAGGAATCCCAGGTGCTGCCTGGCCAGACCCCTCAGCCCACGGGGATGGTGGTGGTCAGTGTGGCCTGGACAGGGGGACATGTCCAAGGGTGACATGTCCAAGTGCCAGGCTGCACTTCAGCTGCCAGCAGCTGAGCTCAAGCTGTATCAGCATTAGCAAATGTGGTTTTCATCAGGCCTGTC